CTTTGCCTGAGGCTATCCAGCAAAAGTCTCCCTGCAGGGCGTGGGCGGGTCGGGTCCCAGGGGATCTACAGGGCAGGGTTAGCAATTATGGCTGCTTTCAGTCTTGCCCTCAGAGGCTCTGCTTCTCAGTGTCCCAGTAATTGCTGCAAGCCCCACGGAGAGAAAGCTGCCCCAGTGTTCTGAGCGATGCCAGACAGTTCCGCTTCTTCCGTTTGTGTCTGGGTCCCTAGAGACTCGCCCGGAACTGGAGCTCAGAGCCTGAGACTCCCTCCCGATTGAAAATGACAACCGTGCCCTCAGCTGCCAGCCCGCTCCACATGCACTCTGCACCTTAGTATTTTACTTCAGCATTGCGCCTCCTCTGAGTCTCAGTATGCTTTCTCTTTCCTCCTAGTTGTAGAACTTCCACTCAGCCAGCCTTCCTGTGGTTCTGGATGATATCCGTTCCGTCTTTTAGTTGTATTTTTGAAGTGGTTGTTCAAGGCAGCAAACTCCGATGTTTACCTATGCCGCCATCTTGGTTTCCTCCACCCAGATTTAATATTTGAATAAATATCAAAATTTCCCCCAAATTGATGAAAAACATCGCATTCAAATCCAAAATGCCCACTGAACGCAATTGCTGTACACACAAAGGCCCAGACCTAGACACATACACTAATACCGCTGAAAGGCAAGACATTAACAAAAATGTAAATCAGTAAGAGGAAGAAAAATTCTATTTCTCTGCTATGTAATCCATATCTTCTATAAAATTGTTTAAAATTCTTGAAAAATTTATTTCATTCATTTCTAATAAGAGATTTTCATGTTCTCTGTCACCAAGAACCTATTAGACATTGTGCTCTATCCTTGGAATTAGAAGAAATAATATAAAATACAGGAAATAAAAACAAAGAAAATAAACATCTTACTGATGGGTTTATGATTCCTGCATATGAGATTGCTTAGTGACCAGAAGGGAAAACAAAGATGTAAAAGCACAGAAAGAAAATGAAGAAAACACTAATTTAGCAAAAAATGGTTTTTTTAAATTAAAAAATATGAACCCTAGGAAGTTGTAGTCTAATTTAAAAAATATGTTTTTATTAATCTCAAAGAGAGAGGAAGGGAGGGAGAAACATCAATGTGAGAAACATCCACAGGCCGCCTCCTGCACACACCAGACTGGGGATCACACCCATAACCTGGGCACATGCCCTGGCCAGGAATTGAGCCTGTGACCTTTCAGTGCATGGGAGGATGCCCAACCAACTGAGCCACACTTGGCTGTAGTCTAGTTTTACCTTAACATTTAAAACAAACAAACAAAAAGGTTGGACACTGAATCTGGAACTCCAGTAGCTGCTACTCAATTTGTTTTCACAATTTTCCTCAGTTATATTGAGCCAGGTGCCATTAAGAGCTAAAAATGATTCTAGAGAATCTCTTGGCTTTGGGTTCTGAGTTCTGAATTCTAGGCTCCAGCTTCTACGGACCTTGCCCGAGTCACTCAGCCTCTCAGGGCTTCTGTTTTCTTCTTTGATGCAGTTGGACTATAATTGTTATGATTCCTAAAGACTATACAAGCCTGTAATTCTGTGGGTTTTACTTTCCATCTGGCCACTCTGTGTCAGGGTAAGAACAAGCAAATAACAGCATAACCCCGGCTGGGTGGTTCAGTTGGTTGGAGTGTCGTCCTGTACACCCAAAGGTTGCGGGTTCAGTTCCCAGTCAAGGCACATAGGTAGGTTTCAGGCTTGATCTCTGGTTGGGGTGCTTATGGGAGGCAACAATTGATGTTACTCTTTCACATTGATGTTTCTCTCTTTCTCCCCACCTTCTCTTCTCTCTTAAAAAAAAAAATCAGTGAACATATCCTTAGGTGAGGATTATTTAAAAAAAAAAAAAAGACATCATAAGCCTCAGCTTGTGCAGATCCCCTTGATTTTACTACTTTTATTTTTTATTTTAAAAGAATTTGGGGGTAAAAAAAGGGAGCAGTGGCATGAACTTGAGGCAACTCATGTCATTGTTCTGAGCTTGTTTTTTTCATCCAGAAATCAGAGGGTTGCATAATTGCTTTCTAAGGCCCTTCCTAGTATGACCTTCTGTGGGACTATGGAGGTGCAGGAGTTTGGGTAACCTGTTGCCTCCCAACTGTGATGAGGCCCCTACTTAAGGACAGTTGAGTGATGCTACCCACCCCCTTTCAGCAATTGTAACTCAGCTTCTAACTAACTAGCCAGAATTTAATTGAATATTTGAGGCCTGAAATTGTTTAATCTCAGATTTATTTATTTATTTTTAATGCTAGGTTGAAGAACCGGAAGGAATGAAGATTCTTAGGTTTTCTAGTCCTATTTTTTATGGCAACGTCGATGGTTTTAAAAAATGTATCAAGTCTACAGTAAGTATTTTATCCCTAGAAATTTGGTTGCTAAGTTCCTTTAAGACAGTTCCTCATGTTGTGGTGAACCCCAACCATAAAATTATTTTCGTTGCTACTTCATAACTGTAATTTTGCTACTGTTATGAATCGTAATGTAAATATCTGATGTGCAGGATGTATTTTCATTGTTACAAATTGAACATAATGAAAGCGTAGTGATTAATCACAAAAACCATATGTAATTATATATGTGTTTTCCGATGGTCTTAGACGACCCCTGTGAAAGGGTCGTTCGACCCCCAAAGGGGTTGCGACCCACAGGTTGAGAACTGCTGCCCTAGGAGGGAAGGGCCGCGGGGGGCATTTCAGACTGAGGGGATGGCAAGGGGAAAGGCTCAGG